AAAAAAAAACAAAAAACAAAAAAAACAGAGGACATAATGTTCTTTTAATTCTCAACAACAACTTCAAGTTCTGTCCAGTCACAAAGAGGAAAAGTGCAATGTTGTTGCTTTTGTGGTTTTCTTGTATCCTTTTCCTTATAGTTGGGCTCTGTCTGGGGATGTTGTGTTTTCTGTTCTGTAGTTGTGAAATGTTGATATTTTTCGCACCTCTGGGCCGCTAATGGAATGTGATTTCCATATTGTTGTTATTCTTTTATCCATGTATTCCTCGATTCCTCCTCTGGCATTCAATCATATTATTAATCTAGTCTGATTGCAGTGGCTCCCTGAACCTGAAATGCCAACCAGAAAGAAGGGATATGAAAATTTATTTATCCGCCACACAGATGGGTCCTCAAAGGGCAAATTTGTTAAGGCTTTCCGATGTGGTCTCCCACCTGGCAGCTGCCTCGAATGAAATAGGAGAATAGAGAAACTGATTTGCTTTCTAAAGGGAGCGATGTGAATATTAAAATGTAATCATATATTACACAAAGTCCAATTCCCATTTCAATAAGTTAATTTGCTGAATGTAAATACATTTTCTTATCACTGCTATTCTTAAGCAGCCACGTCTTTCTTTTTGGATTGTATTTTGTGCATTTTTTGATGTTTTTCCAATCCTTCTCCTTAACCAACACTTAATTAATCACTATTAGACTAAGAGTGGAATAGTGCCCGTTACATAGAAGATTTGCACATTCATTTTAAAGCAGGAACAAATAGATTAAACACAGTGATGTGCAAGCATTTTCTGCCTATAATTGCTGCATATAAAACAAAACAAAACATAGCTTTGCATTTTGCTGGGGTTACCTGCCAGTGTGCATCCTACTGTGGACACTGTGATTTCATATTCTACACAGACGACCATAAAAACAGCTTGAACCTTGCTTCTGTGTACCCAAGCACATCAAAGAAACAAAAGAAAACAGATGAAGGCTGGCAACAAAGCTTACAAAGTCCCATTTGAAAATAATAAAATAAATAAAACCATTTCAGCCTAAAATATATCATTCTGGTGCAGACGCAGACTCTGGTGCCATCCCTGTTTCTAAACAATACCAAGTCTGTACTATAATTGATAACACCCCACATTGTTAGTAGCTCTGTTGTTTTTGTTTTGTTTTTTATTACAGCTCCACCATAAAATCGTTGCCACCTTAGTACAATCTTACTTGCTTTATGTCTGGATTACACGCAGAGATTGATAAATCCTCCCACGGATTCGCTGCTCAGTACCTATTGGTGAACTGGAACTGCCTCGAGCCAACTTGCAATGAAGCACTACTGCAATATCCTTACATACTTGTGTAGTAGCCGTGCTGCTAATATTTCTTCTGTTGTGCCAGATTTACTCAGCTGAGCTAGTGCATTTTCTTAGAGTCCTTTAAATGTAATAAACTTTTGATAAACTTTATTATTTTGTCAGCCCCATTTGTATCAGTGAAAGGATAAATGGGGCTCACTATACTTTCATTTGAAATAACCATAAAGGACAATCAGCACCCGAGTAAAACAATTGCAAGAGAAATTGAACAAAATGACCTTCAGAAAATGAAAGGTTTACTGCCGGACTGTATGATCTGACTGCATTCTTTTCAGTTAGGTGCACATAATAAAATGGCAACTCACCGTATAATGAATTACTTAGTGTTGTTTTATGGAGCAGGCCACAAAATGTCAAGTGGTATCAATTAAACGTTACAGGCTTACAGTTAAACCTCAAATACATTTTTAACCCATGACTAGATCAACGAGCACAGCCTTGCCTTACGTCATCTCTAACAGATACACCTCCAGGTCTGAGCCATTAGGGGACAGTGTTGCCCCAGATCACGGTACATCTGTCTGCTTGTGATTCCTGCAGCTTCTCAGTGGGGTGAAATCAGTCTTAAGTGCTGATTTGGGGTCACAGTTGGGATTTCCAGAGCAGTAGTAGAGGTCAAGATTTGGAACAGTGGAGCTCTATCTAAGTCAGCAGTCAGACAGGAACCATAAAATATATCTCTGCTGATGCTCTTTCCTGCTGTTTCAGCATGAAGACGACTATCCCTACAGATGCATCAGGTGCAGAGCACAGGCTGTTATTGACAACAGCCCCTCAGGGAGTTTAGTGTTTGTGTTTGTGTGCGTGTGTGGGTGGATGTGGAAATGTCTGTGTGATATATGCAGATGTATCATGAATGTGCTCTTAATGAACTGTTACAGAAACACCACCATTATACTGACACATAAAGTACAAAATGTGCTCCCAAAAACAAGAAGCTAAGGGTGGCGTGTTTGGGCTTTCATA